GGGGGGTGACTTCTCACTTTCTGTCTTTCTCTGTCTCACTATAGTAAAAATCTAAAAAACAAACAACCTTTTTTTTAAAATGTGAACTTCAAGAGGACAAGAGCTTTGTCTATTTTTTTCTTCATTATAGCTTCAGCATCTTCTAAAAAACTCAATACAAAACAGGAATTCAATACATGCTTCTAGATTGAATGAATGAATGCTGGGGTAGATTAGTCTGAGACAGATTAGCCAGAATAACACAGTATAGAAGATATAAAAGGAAAGCTTTAAAGTGGTTTTAGTGTTACAGAGTTACAGGAGATAAGAATTGCAAAAAGATCACTGAATTATATGTTCAGAAGGGACTTTTACCTTTAGAGAACAGCTTCAGTAAGAGCATTTGGGAATATAAACCAGATCATGAGGATTTAAGGATGAAGTGGATAATAAAGAAGTGGTTTAGAGTAAAATTACCTTTGTCTTTTTTTAAAGTTGGTAGAAGCAAAAAAGGTAGCATATCTCTGAGAATAACATAATCAAAGAAAAGTTTAATTGGTTTATTTTAGAATGCTGGAGCTAGCAGATGGCATAGTGGTTAAGTCATAGTTCAAGTCCCAGAGTCAGTGGCTTAAAACTCACACAAGGTGTGTGTGTATGTGTGTGCCCCAAATCCCAAGAAGAATGGAGAAGGTATTGTGGCATGGCCATCCCCCATGGGGGGTGATTTCTCACTTTCTGTTCTCTGTCTCTGTCTATCCAGAGAGCACACATGCCCTATACCAAAAATCTCAATAAAAAAAGGGGGAGGAAGGCAGAAATAAAAGAGAATGGTAATAGTAAACATTTTTATTCACAGAAAAGGAAGCAGACAATGGAGAAGATTATATTGAAAACAGAGAAAGAGGGAGAATTATAAATAAATTTCAAGAAGAAAAGGAAATTGGGCCAACCCATGTTATGGTGACAGCTGGATTCCCACATGGCCAACTAAATGGTTCAAGTCCCAGACTCTGTGGTTTGAAAACCGTGTGATTTGAAAAAATGCATCCAGTATGTTGTGTACGTGTAACCAAAACCCCAAGAGGAGGAGAAATGGAGCAAAAAGGACTAGGGCTTGACCAGCACTCCCCATTTAAGAGGGTGGCTTCCTCACTTTCTCCTCTCTGTCTCTCTTTGGCAAATGCAGGTACCCTCTAGCAAAGAATAAAGGAAGGAAGGACTGAATCAAAGTAAAGTATTGTGAATGTAACCTTCAGGAAGAACCTATTGGCCCTGAGACTAGAGACTAGAGTATGAAAGTCACAGAGTAAGTGCCGGCACCTCAACCCAACTTCGATTATCTGCCTACGATCACTCCATAGCAGATATTCAAAAAATATCTGTTAAAAACTCAAATAAACATGAATAGATGGAATGATATAAGAGTGTGTGTGTGTGTGTGTGTGTGTGTGTGTGTGTATTTAGTATTTTCTTACCATAAACAACTATCTTCTTGATTTCTTAAAGTAAATCATTGAAGTGATGAAAAATGACAGATTTTACTAATCAGGCAATCCCTTGACTGGATATCTCTCAACAACAAAAAAATGGACAAAAAAGGAAGAGGAGCAAAAATAAGGTAGACTAGATGGGTAAACATCGTTATGTTCCACATTCCACAGTTATTGATGTCCCTGACTATAGAAATTTTTGTATACTAAAGTTAATCATGTTGCTGATAACTACGGTAAGTAAAGCAACGTAAGTTGTATAAAGTATAATAATGATATGCTTAATCGATAGTCAGAAAATAAGCATGTATAGATATTTGTCTAACTCCAGAATAAAACAAGATTAAGAAATAAAAACTTAATTTTCACTATTTAAATAACTGCTCAACCTGAAAATTAAATCCCAGATCTGATTTTCTAATCTGTTGAGCATTCTCTTTGTGAAATATTTTACTTTGAATGGTTTTCATGTTCCAAATACTTTGCAAAACAGTATTTAAAATCCACAATAAGTTATTTTTAAATAAATCATATCTACAACTTATTTCACAACATTCATCTTAATAGCTCAAGATTTGATATTAATTTAAAACTCATGAAAACAAATGTACACTTTCATGTCATTTGAAAGACAGTATTGAAAATGCAACATGAGGGACCAGTAGTTGGTGTAATGGCTATATCACTGCACTCCCATGTAGTCGACTGCAGTTCGATTCCCAGACCTGGTGGCTTAAACTCATGGTGGGCGCATGTGCGTGCGTGCCCAAGATCCCAAGAGGAGAATGGAGAAGGGATTGCAGTATGGCCATCCCCCCTGGGGGGTGATTTCTCACTTTCTGTCTCTCTGTCTGTCTTTCTGGCAAGCACATGTGCCCTATATAGCAAAAAACAAACAAACAAAAAAACAAAACAAAACAAAACAAAAAAACCCACTCCCCTCCCAAAAAAGAAAAAATACAACATGCACATATTTCATACTAGATTAAGCTTCTGCTGACTAATTACTAGAACCTTAATAAAACATGGCTAATTTAATGGCACACTTTAAGATGAGGACTTTATCAAAACCAAAAGATCATATAGAAGTAGAGAATGAAATGGTAGATACCGGAAGGGGAAGGCAATGACAAACATAGGGAGAACTTGTTCACACAGGGCAAGTAGGTAAACAGAATGAGTACTAGAGCACAACAGAGTAACTGTAGTTGGTGACAACTCAATGCATATTTCTTTTGTTGTTGTTGGCTTTTATTTAATTTTATTATTATTATTATTTTACATTTTTTCCAATGCATATTTCAAAGTACTAGAGAAGAGACCTTTGAATGTTGACAACACACAGTGATGAGAAATAGTTGAGATGGAAGACATGTTTATGGTCCTGATTTGATCATTACCCATTATATTCATGTATTAAAAAAAATGCAGTGTACCCCATACATATGTTCAACTATTATATGTCAATTAAAAATTTTAATTTTTAACAAAAGATATTTGTTTTCACAAACACCACTAGGGGGTAGAAATGTTTAATGATTCTTCTTTGCTTACTTAGTAGCTTAATTAAATTTACAGCATTATTTCTCTCAGTGACTTAATGATAACCTGCTACATCCGAAATGACCCAGTGGCGGTCATTTATTCTTTATGCTGGGAGAAACTGTAAGCAAGGAAGGGGATGAGCACTGTTGGGAGGAGGTTAGCACGCCACAGGGTCAAATTACAGCAACCACTTTCTAATGTAATTTTTGCTGTGTGTGTGTGTGTTCTTCTTAATTTGCTACAGAGCTGTGCACTCACCGGAGAGAGGCAAAGAGAACAAGATGGAAAGTGAAAAATCATCCCCTCAATCCCTTCTCTGCCATTCTCCTCTCAGGATTTTGGGCATGCACACACAGGTTCCTGTGTTTTTTGAGCTAATGGGTATATTACTGAAACAGCACAGCAGACTATGTGCGATCCAGTCACCTCAACCTCCTCGCCATCTGCTGGCCCCATAATGTAATATTTTTAGGCACAATTGATACAGTAAGTTACCTTGTGGGCAAAGTCATAAGGAAAAAAAATAAACCAAAAGTATCAAAATGGGACTTAGAATTCTAGTCAGTTGTATAACTGAAGAAATGGACTTGAGAGAGATTCCAAAAGACATACTGACAGGTTTTCTCAGCCATCAACATGGTAAGTAAGACAAGCTGGAAAATAAAAATGATGGTGAAGTAATTATTCAGCTAGTTGGAGACCACTGCTTTGCTTATTTAACAAACTTGTAATAAAATGGTACCTTGGAGCTAACCACTGGTCTTCTCCATTATTCTTATCTCATGTAAGGGTGCTTCTGGCCATATCTGAGTCTATTAATCAAAGGTGGAGGTATGACAATAAAATCACAACACTGAGTGGACATATTCAGTTACCATACAAGAAATGTCATATTGTAATGAGAATTATTCTTTAAGCATCTTTGTATTTTTTGAGAGATTTTTGCTATAGGACGTGTACGCTCACTGGAGAGACAGAGAGAAACCGAGACAGAAAGCCAAAAATCACCCCGCCCGGGAGGTGGGGTAATGGTCATACCATAATTCCTTTTCCTCCATTCTCTTCTCAGGATTTTGAGCATGCACGCATATGTGCCCAGAGCGAGTTTCAAGCTGCTGGTTCCAGAACTCGAACAGTGGTTGGCCACATGTGGGTCCTACACATTAACCACTACACCACCTGCTGATACCTTTTTAAGAACTTTTTTTTTGGGGGGGGGAGAGGTTTTGCTATAGGGCGTGTGTGCTCTCCAAACAGAGACAGAAAGCGAGGAATCACCCCCCAGGGGAGATGGCCACGCCACAATCCCTTCTTTTCCATTCTCCTCTCGGGATCTTGGGCACACACGCACACATGCCCGGCGTGAGTTTTAAGCCACTGGGTTCAGGATGCGAACCGCAGTTGACTACATGGGAGTCCAGTGACATAGCCATTATGCTAACTGCTGGTCCCCCTTTTTAAGAACTTTTTAAAGGAGGCTCTGCATTCATTTTACTGATTTCTAGTGCTCAAAATATTTGAAACACCTCACATATTTGTATACATATGTAGTGTATTTTTATGTTTTGATATGTGTGTATAACTTTTTAGGTGAGTATTACCTAAGTGAGTTTTATAATTTTGTATACTTTTTTTGTTATGAATTATATTTTCTGATGACTACCTGTAATATCACATGTCTTTGGTTTAAATGTAGCAGTGAGCCTGGTTGTGTTTTGTTTTGCAGGGTGAAGTTCATCTTGCTTTATCATCCTCTCCATGAATTTCCAGCACCAACTATGGCAAAGACTGTAGCCCTCAATGAGTTTGGGCCAGAAGGAGCCACCACTACCTTCTTAATACGCATCCAGAACTTACCTTTTATTTTCAATGCTTTTGTTATTTTGCTTAGGATCTTCATGTACTTAAATATTTCTGATCAGAAATCCTTCAAAATGAATACTGCATGCAAATAATTATCAGCAATTAACATCTTATAAATACCTTCCGGTGTTGCTCATCCTTCATCTTTTGCAATTTTAGGTTTTCTTCCTCCCTTAGAGAATCCTTATAAGCCTGGCTTCTGGCCTGTAAAGGAGCAGGAGAAAAACTTCATAGGTAAAAGGATGGCAACAGTGTGCTAACCTGCCTGCTGTGGAACCAGTGCTAATAACAAACTTCTGTACTTGGCTTCCAGTACATTTTACATACACATATGCACGTTGAGTGACTTACACGTACGTCTGAAGATGTCCCTTGGAATCCATAACACTTTAAAGGATGACATAAATCTTTATTTAATTAAACTTTTAAAATGTCCCCTCAGAGATAACCAACATAGTTTATTCCTAGTGGAAAATTAAAATTATTTTCAAGAATATTGCAGCTAGCTGATTGGTCAACATCGTAGACAAGCAATAGTGATACTGTCTTTAGGAACACTTAGATGTTGACTGTTCATTAATGGCACCCTATTAAACAACTTAACGAATGATCCATAGCGTATAATCCAAAAGATGTGCTTCTTTCTTTTTTTTAGAATGATTTAATTTCATTTATTATCATCATTATTTAATTTGACCAGAGAGAGAAAAGGAAAGCATCCAGGTCTGGGACTCAAACCATGGTAGGCCATATGGAAGTCCAGTGCCTTAACCACTATGCCACCTGCCACCCCTATCTTTCTAAGTCTTTACATGCTAATCTATATCTGAAGCATCTTCCTATTCCTGAAAGAAAACAAAGGAGCGTTGGGAAAGCCAGCACACATAATAGGCTGCCCTTCTGTCTCTGGCTCACCAGTTAGGACTCTGCACACTGTATAATGACCATGGATTCTGGAATTTAGGAGATTTTGAGTATTCTGTTTGTGGGTCATACTCTTTCTCCCCCTCACACTGATTTGTAGCCCCTGTCTCTGTAAGGCAGAGGCCAGCCAGATAAGCTAATACTTAGGAAATTCCATTGATCTCATAAAACTACCAGCAGCATTGTTGCAGCAGGCTACATATTTCAGACCTAGTTCTTTTGGACTAATAATCTATAAAGCTTTTGTAGGTCAGTCCCCCCTTTTCCTCTACTATAATTTTTCTCAAGCACTTGTTAATTCATTCCCCCATTTCTGTCACTATAAAAACACAAACACCATCAAATAATAAGAGCCACTTCCCAAAAAAGGGAGAGAAGCTTTTAGAATTACATCATTTACAGCAGTACCAATTAGAACAGGGGAGTTATATGTGTTCAGAAAACCCTCATATATCCAAGTCCTGCTACATTAGACAGGCAACCTTGTATCCTATGACTCTCTTATCTATATGCTAAATACAAGGGGGTTATGATAAGACATAGAAGGCAGGGAGTGTTTCTC